TAACATTTTGATTGTATGTTGTCACAACAACCTGTTGCCTGATGACTAACTAGTATGTACATGGAGGATCAACAAGCAGAGAACTCCCCAGCTGTCCCTGGAGCTTCAGCTCCACTAGGGTCCCCTCTGTTGACTTAGCCTACTCAACTGCCTGCACCTCCACCCATGTGAACCCGAACCTGAAACAGCACACGCTGGTTTTTGTCAACTTGCCACAAATTTGAGTCATTTAGATAGAAAGAACCTTCATTTAGAATATCCCATGAACAGACTGCCTACAGGCAGGTCTGTGAGGTATTCTCTTGATTCGTGATTGATGAAGGAGGGCCCAGGCCACCGTGGGGGAAAGCCACACTGGAGCAGGTGGTCTTGAGTGGTTAAAGAGATCAGGCTGAGTCAGCCATGGGGAGCACAGCACTGAGCATCGTTCCTCCTCTGTGGCCTCTGCTGCAGTTCCTGCCTCCAGGTGTCCTGCCTTGACTTCGCTTCATAATGAACTGTGAGCTATAGGATAAAATATACACTTTCCTCTCCAAGTTGCTTTTGGTCGTGATCTTTACTGCAGCAACGTAAACCAAATTACAAATTAGGTTAATGCAGTTTCCTACTCTTGGACCTGAGTTCAGGTTGTCACAACTTAAGTGAACTCTGTAGCCTTGCTCTCCAACCCTGACTTCAGCCACCTCCCAACTAACTGATCTGGCTTGTATCTCATCAGTATAGACTCTTCCAACTTTTGAAGTTTTTCGTACTCTCCTGCAGCCTCTTTATCCTTTCTGTAAACTACATATGTGTATATATACTTATTGTGTGTGATATGTGATGTGGGCGTTAATTAAGATCGGAATAAAAGAACCTACATTTACCTCCGCCAGATTACCAGGATAATCTTTCAAGCTGCTGTCATTGCAACCTCTGGGCCTTGAGAATGTATTGCTCCCAGTAAACTATGACATTGTAGAAAGACACAAACATGTTCCTCAGTGCCTCTGGCTAGCATGCTCACAACAGGCAGCAAGTGCTTTTGCCCACACAGCCATCTCCCCAGCCCTTAGGTGAAATGGTGAAAAAATGAGCTGTTAGGGATGATGGCACATGCCTTCAACTCCAGCACTTAGGAGGCTGACCTGGGAGGACTGAGAATTTGAGACTTCCTGGGCTATAGGGCAAGTTAAAGATCAGTCAGAGAATCCACAACATGAGACCCTAGTGCTCACACATATGCAGGTGCATACACACACGATAGATAGATAGATAGATAGATAGATAGATAGATAGATAGATAGATAGATAGACAGACAGACAGATAATCTGATGTGGTCCCTTTCAAAAAGGGCATGGAATGAAAATGGAATGAAGGAACGGGTCTGAGAAATTGAGAGTGCCAGAAATCAAACCTTTTACATTTACTACCCATCAGAACGGCATTCTGGGATGATTATCATCCCCCACTTTAGATTTTGAGACTTCATCCATGTGTCCAGTACCCCCAGACACCATTACCCAAGAGGCCAGGGTAACTAAAGAGAAAAAACAGCCTCCCCAAGATCAGCATCCGACCCATGGAAACAAGCCTACTCCACACTGACATCACTCCCCATGGTCCTATTGTTCTCGTCTCCCCCTTTAATGCTGGAAACTGTAATTCCAAACAAATGTGAGCAAAGGACTAATAAGTTATGCAGCTGAAGAGGTTTAGGGCTAAGCCCCTTAAGCTGTTTTTGGAATAGTATTTGATCTCTTGACATAAATCTAGTGCTATTGTGGGTTCTATACATATGCAAAGATCCCACAAAATAAGCCGGAACTAAACTGATTACATTCCCGATCAAATAGGTGAAACTCAAGTTTGGGATTCTGAGGCTGTGATGTACTGCATCCAATGCAATGTGGAGAGACAGGAAGGGAGAAGCAAGGGCTGGAGATAGCTCCATGGGTAAAAGAGCTTGTTCATATGTAGGAGGACCTGAGCTCTAATCTCCAATACCAGTGAAAGCAACTAAGCGGCGTCACGCAAATCCCTAACTCCCAGCGCTGTGGAGGGCAGATATAGGAAGATTATCCAGGCTTGCTGGCTGCCAGTCTAATTCCAAGTTCAATGAGAGATGCCGTCTCAAGTGAATAATGCAGAGGCGAAACAAAGCAAGACTTTCAAGCATACATACGTGCACACACATGCACACACACTTGCGCGCGCACACAGGCAAACAGGACCAGAGAGAGCTCAGCTGGTAAGGTGTTTATGAACACAGGAAGACCCAAATTCTATCCCCAAGAACCCACAAAAAAGGCAGACATGGTGGCACAGCCCTCTATCCCAGCACAGTAGAGGCAGAGATGGCAGGAACCTTTGGGGCCGGATGGCCAGCCGACCTGGCCTGCCGGGTGACATCCAGATCAATAATAGACCCTTGTCTGAAAATAAAAAAAAAAGAGCCCAGCAGATGGTACCTGCAGTGGTTTCAATGAGAATGACTCCCCACTGGCGCACGTGTTTGAATACTTGGTTCCCAGCTGGTGGGAAAGGATCAAGAGGTGTGGTTTTTGTTGGAGGAAGTATATCACAGGGGTAGGCTTGGAGGGTTCAAAAGACTGGCATTGTTTCCAGTTCTCTCAGTCTCCTGCCTTTGTATCAAGATAACCATCAGTTGTTCTTCCCACCAAGCCTTTGTCGCTAACCCTCTGGAACCGGAAGCTCAATTAAACGCTTTCTTTTGTAAATTGCCTCAGTAATGGTGTATCAACATAGCAAGAGAAAACTAACACTGGGCCCAAGGAACAAAACCAGAAATCTTCTGGCCTCCACGTATCTGCATGCACATATGCAAATGCCTCGGTACACACATGTATCTGCACACACACACAACAGGGAAGAGGGGAAGAGAAGGAAACGAAGCAAGTTCTCAGTACAGTGCTGTAACAAAACCTAGTCTCAGAAAGTGGGGAAGACAGGCAAGGAGACCCTAGACTGCAGGAGAGATCTCAGGCAGGAAGCTCTTGACAATGGGAACAAATGAATTTATAACTTTTGTCTGGACAACCTTCCTTTCACAGGAACAGCTTCTCTGTAAGAGTAAGAGAGAGGTTCTGGGTTCCAGGGACCTGGGATTGAAGACGATGATGTTTATAGAACAAGGCAACTACCCTAGACTAAGTCACCAGCAAAGACAAATAACACCTCTCAAACCCTCTACAACACAAAGAGAAAGGAAGGAGCCACCAGATTCAACCAGGGTGATTCTTTAAACCATAAAATAGGGTCACTGCTTGATTTGACACCCACATCAGACCTGTCTCTGGAAGTCGGTCACTTAACTGCAAATCTATTTTAGATAGAGGGTGATGGGCCAGCAGCACACAGGCCTAATCTGACTTAATCTTTCTATCTTATCTGCATCATTGTGGTACTGCCATTGTTTGGGGAAAGTGATAAGCCCTAAAATGTCCCCCTAACTGGCATTTAGCTCAGATTGAAAGATGTCTTTATATTTCCACACTCAAAGTAATCTTAACCTTTACTACAGCCACTTGGTCTACCCTGTAAGTCTTAAAGGGAATATCACTTTTAAAGTCACGGAGTTTAAAACTCATGGGGGCTGGAGAGGTGGCTCAGCAAGGAAGAGCTCTTGCTGCTCTTCCAGAGGACCTGGGTTTGATCCCAAGGGCCAATATGGCAGCTCACAACCATCCATAACTCCAGTTCCTGGGGATCAACAATCTCTTCCAACCTCCCCAGGCACAAAGCATGTGTGTGATGTACATACATACACGCAGGCCAAAAAATTCACACACATAAAATAAATTCAAAAGAAAAATTTAAGCATGGAATGTTAGCTCTGGGAGAAATCTCTTATTTCTTTTCCTTTTCTTCCAAGACAATTCTTTAGAGCAGTGGTTCTCAACTTTCCTAATGGTATGACTGTAATGGTCTGCTCTGTCCCTTTAAGACAAGTCACACCCACTCCCTCCTCATCTGTAGAGGCAAGCTGATCTTCAGCTTCCAGCCCGAATCCCTTCTCTTTTCTGCCTCTCCCCTCAAGAGGCAGCTTCTGCCTCACTCAGTTCTCCTCACTTCTCCCCTTCGCCCTCCTCTCTCTGTGTTTCTCTCTGCTCTCTCCCTGTTCTTCCCTTACTCCTTACTCTCCTTCCCTTCCATAACCCACTACATAAATATCCAACCTCATTCTGCATGGTGTGCCCATCCATGTCTCTGTCTCTCACCTGCTGCATGGCTCCTGGTCGGGGACCAGCCACCTTCAGAGACCTGCGGCGTGGTCTCGTGGTGTGCCCATCTCTCTGTCTGGGACTCGCTGCCTCTCGTGGCTCACTGCAGCCACTTGGGAACTGCACTGTCCCTGCCTAGGACTGGCTGCTATCGGGACCTGCTGCCTGCCCCCACTCAGGGACCTGCAGTGTGATCTCATGGCCTGCTGCCGGCTGCAGCCACTGGGGAACCTGCAGCATTTTACTTAATCCATTACAGTGACCCTATAATACAGTTCCTCGTGTTATGGTGACCCCCAACCATAAAATAATTTCACTGGTCTTCCCTAACTGTAATTTTGCTGTCATTATGAACAGTAATATGGATATCTGATATGCAACCCCCAAAGGGGTCATGACCCACAGGTTGACAACCATTGCCTTAGAGCAGCATAGCTTACAGGCATTGAACACTTACTCTTGAGCACTATGCCAAGAGATTTGCATATTTAAATCAAATGAGTGCAATATGGGTGTGACTTCCGTCTCCCTTTTGCAGAAGGAGAACCTGAGACACATGTACCTCCTTCCCATCTTGCTCCTACTTTGTGAAGAACTCCTTATCAACACACTAAACCCCAGGCATCCAAGCCTAAGAGCACCATTCTCTCTCGGCCGTGAGGGAGATGAAGGATGCATAATTTGGAGAGGACTCTCAACACCATTGGTCATGATGTTCCTGGAAGATACGGCTACACTCCTGTTTTGTTGCAGCACAGGCTCCAGCCTGCTCTTACCCTGTTGTCTTCCTGGATCTCCCAGTCGCTCGAGAAGGTCATCAGCTGCTGCCCTTGGGAGCAATTAGCAAACTGGAAGAGGCTGGAAAACATCCTTCTGTTTTCTTGTGTGTCTGGGAAGATGGCATCTTGGAAATTGACTCCATGAGGCAAGAGATTGTAATTTTCATCCATTCTAAGGGGGTGGGGTCAAAGCAGAGAGACAAGGGAGGTTATTGGAGGTGGGTCAGCTTCAGTCCAGTTTGCAAAGGACAGAGATGATCTTGCTAATTTCATCATGAAATCTGCAATGATGAAGAGACCCCACAGTTAGCACTTCTGCTTTCCACTTTTCATTACTTGAGTCTAACCTTAAGGTTTTCGTAAGCACAGAGTCTAGACAGAGGGGAAAAAAAGAGATATGCATTAATGTCTGTGTTTATTTCCCAAGTCCCCCAGGACTTTCCTCCTCCTATTGTTCCTTACTTCCTGGTGAGAGGGCAGCCAGTTGTAATGTGACCTGGATTCAAGTCTCGCTGTTACATTCAAGTCTCAAAGTTTCTTCTTTAAGTACCATCGTCTTCCAGTCTGCTACAAGAGGATTTTAGTAGAGCCTACTTTCCTGGTATTACCATGGGGGCTGCACTGGAAAAATGTAAACAGGGGGCAGGAGATGTGGCTCGGTGGGTAAGTGTGAGGACCCAAAACTGAATTCCTAGCACCCACATAAAAAGGTAGTCATGGCTGTTCCTGCCAGTAACATCAGCACTGAATGGCAGGGACAGGCAGCTCCTGAGAACCTACTACCCCAGCCTAGCCCAAACAGTGAGCTCCCAGGTCAATGAGAGACCCTAGCTCAAGGCAATAAAGTGGAGGGCGATAGAGGGAGACAACAACATCTTCCTCTGATCTCTGCATGTTCACACATTCCTATGCATGTACCACATACACATATACACTCATCCAACACACACAAATAGAATGAAGCACTTGGCACAGAGTGCATGCGAGTATACAAATAGCAGTCAATGTTTTTACATGCTCTGGTGTAAAGTGCTTGCTAGAAATAGAAATCAGGGCTGGGGAGATGGCTCAGGGGTTAAGAGCACTGGCTGCTCTTCCAGAGGTCCTGAGTTCAATTCCCAGCACCCACACGCAGCTCACAACCATCTTTAATGAGATCTTGTGCCCTCTTCTGGCATGGAGGCATATATGCAAAACACTCATATGTAAAATATAAATAAATAAATAAAGCAAACTTAACCAAAAAAAGGAAATAAAATTTAAAAACAAAAAGAAAGAAATAGAAATCGGGGGGGTGGGGGAGTGAGAATTTTAACCCAAGCGTTCCAGTTTGAATTTGGAATGTTCCCCCTCCTCTCAGTTTCATGTGCTCAACCTTGGTACCCAACTAGGGTAGGAAGCTGCAGAAGTTTCCAAAGGAAATATAGTCACTGGGAAGATGCCTTTGGATCTGCATCCTACCACAGCCCCTTCCTGTATTTCTTCTCTGCTTCCTGTTTGCCGTGAGGTGAACAGCCTTCGCCCCATGCACACCACCACAGCCATCTGCCTGAGTGTACAGAGTCACACAGGAAAGGAACGAACCCTCTGAGATGAGCCGAAATAAATGCTCCATTCCTTCCATTTGCCAGCCTCAGTGAGTGAGCAAGAGACAGGGGGAGAAGCCAGAACAACTGAGGAGGGGTGTGTTATATGACGTTATTAGCCTACTTCAAGGCAAGAGAGCCCTAGGAAAAGACAACCTGTCACAGCATCGTGGGACTGCTGGTCTGTCTTAACTTTCCGTAATTATTGACTGACCACTGCACGGTCACTGGACCACTTTGTGATTTAAGAAGAAAAAAAAAAGGCAAAATAATCCAACATTGTCTAGTCAGTTCTTGAGCTTTTTATCCAGTGGAAAATAAAGCACTGTCAAGTTGTGTTATAGTTGGGCTCTCAGTGTTTTCCCTAAATAAAAACATGAAAAGACTGAGTTGGATTTCTGGATCAAGAGAGGCGCTCACACGGCCCTGGCTGACTTTATTGAGAAACTATACTTTCCAGACAATTAAAAAAATCAACCTAATCTGGCTAAGCTCCTCAAGCCAACACAAAGTAGAACACGCATTCTAAACTTAGCCTGCCTTCAATATGGAAAGCACATGTGCTGAGCTTCAGGACATCCCTCTGCGGAACTTACTGTTTTCTTTCTCAGAGACTCCAAAACGAATCATTCCCTGGAGCCTCGGTGCTGTTTTACAATTGGCAAAACTGCGACGATTGCTGATCATACAGCTTTGGATTGAGTCGCCAACTGTTCAAAAACCTGGCTAAGATTTTATGCCCATGCCTCTCGCCATTGTTCTATACCCATCTTAACTGATTTATAACCATGACCTTGAGGAGCCACCTGCTGCTTTCTACCTGCGATTTAGGTAGAATTCGGTAGTCAATAAAAATGAACTGAATTTGGGGATATACATTTCCTGCTGATTTTAGGCCAACCTCCATGGAACTTGACAAGATTGATATTGTTTAGAAGGGACCACCTGCCTGGTGTCCCTCTGCACTCTTCAAAGCAGTGACCTGGAGTTTTTACCTTTCCCCTAAAGCCCTGCTAATGTGAACTATCTGGCAGGCGGTATGCGAGAGGAACAAGGCAGCAAGGCTGCCTTCTGGCACTGAAGTGGGTAGTAAAGAGGGAGCGGGTGCACGTTAAACAACAGAACTTCCCCGGGAGCTTCAGGTGCTCCTATCAGTATCTGCGTCTCTCTTTCAGCCAGATGGGAATTGCTGGAGGGGAACGGCGTGAGAGAAGCGTTTGGCTCAAAACTCACACTTGAGAAGTTCAAAGCCAGAATCCCAACAACTGATTCCAAAGGCCAACTTCCTCAATACATCAAATGGACGATTGGAAAGCACTTTTAGAGCTGCGTGTGGTAGCATGAGCCGGTAAATCCCAGCACTCAGAAGCTGAGGCAGGAAGATCACGGGGGGGGGGGGGGCATCTCATAAACAATGCCACTTTAACCTTTTTGCCTTTAGCACCCTTCTGTGGACAGGACTCCAAAATCGTCTCTGAATCTCATCCTCAGCCAAGGGTGGTCAGGATCTTCATAGAGGACACAGCAAGAGAGAATGCAAAGAGTCTAAGGTATGTTCTACTTCGGCAAAAAGCGGGCCCCGGACGCTCCTGACCTGCTGCAGGTAGCCCGCAGAGGGGCCAGGCTCACCTGACAAAGAAGAAATAGGAGTAGTCCTGGACCACCGTGTGGGAGTGACAGGAGAAGTAGCCCAGACCTGTAAGATTGAGCCGGGAGCCGGCGGGCACCTCCAGCATACTGCCCCACGCCTGGTCACACAGCATCTCCACCTCGGCGGAATAGAAGAGCCCTCCCTCTCCAGCTTGGTACTGCCACGGCAGGTAGTTGTAGAGACCGGGCACCTCAGGGTGCAGCGCCAGCACCTTGGCATACACGATGGTCTCGGCCAGCTCTGCTCGGCAGCCCTCGCTCAGGGGTCGCCACTCCGACGGCAGCTGGCAGGCGCGCGCGGGCGCCGGGAGGGCGGCGAGGCAGAGCGCGGCGAGCAGCAGCGGGAGCGGCATGCCGGCGGCTACGCTCTAGCCCGGGCGCATGGCCCGCTCGGGTGCCGGGGAAGGCGGGGAGCCTGGGAGCCCGCAGCGCCTGCCCGCCCCCGGGAACTACGGCCTGGGAGCTCGGCTGCGCGAGCTCCGAAGAGCTGGTTGCTCTGTGGCCAGATCACCATGTCCCGGCCTTCGCCCCTCCACGCTTAAGAAGGGTCGCGAGGACGCGACGGGACGGGCGGGGACTGGGGCGTGGACGGCGGCAGGGGCGGGGAGTCTGCTCTGCAACCCGGCCTCGCAGGGCTCCCGGAGGTGGGTAACCGACCCAGGCGTCCTGAGACTCCAGGGTGGCAGCGGAACAAGTGAACTGAGTCTTGACCACAAGACCCAGTTGGCTTGTAGTGCACCTCTATAGGCTAGATCAGAGCTTGCCCGACATAAATAGCTGTTCCTTATGCAAGTGTCCCAAGCTCTCAGTTTACACGATAGGGTCCTCTGGGTTAAGTCTTTACGTTTTCTCTGCAAGTAATATAGAATCAAAGTACAAAGAAACCAAATCTGATTTTGCCTTTCCCTAACTTCATGTGGATAATATCGTCTCCTCTCTTCTCTTTCTCTTCCCCTCCCTTTCTCTCCTCCCTTCTCCCCCTCATCTCCCCAGATCCTCTCTCTCCTCCCCTCCCTCCTCTTCTCCCCTCTACTCCCTCGCCCCTCTCATCCTTCTCTATCACACAGACCACACACACACACACACACACACACACGCACACACTGATTCTTCTGTAATAATGATATTCAAAGAGTCCCCATAAAGATTTGAAAAGCCATTGTTCCAGGATTTTTTTTAAGTTAACTGATTTATACAACCCCAGATTCTGAAAGTTCTACACTTGGTAAGCAAATCAGTAAATTCAAATCAGCGTTTCCCTGGTTAACGGGTAGAATGGAGACCAAACCCCTCAAAGGCTCTCACCCTCCATTGCCATTACTATTCTTAGTGTAATAAGAATAAATCCCAAGAGGGCCAAGGGTGTAGCTCAGTTAGAAGGGTGCTTCCTGGGCATGAATCATGTCCTGGGTTTGAGTTCCCAGCACCCCATCAGCTGGACATGGAGACACACTTAGTAGTTGGAGGTGGAAACAGGAGGATCAGGAGTTCAGAGCTTTCAGGAGGCTTCATAGGGAAATTGAATCTAGCACTGGCTGAAGAAACTGTCTCAAAAAAGAAAAAGAAAGAAAGAAAGAAAGAAAGAAAGAAAGGAAACCTATTTGTAAATATATTGGCCATATAATCATTTTATGGATGTTACCCATATATCATTGTAACTAATGCATTTGAAGAACAGGTTTATAAGCAAAGTTGCCATGAAATGGAAGACTTTCTGTAGCATCTCATTTGGGGCTTTGCAGGTTTGGAAGCAGGAACCTAGCTGAACTATTCAAGGACCTAGAGAGAAGCGAGTTACCAAGAAAATCTAGAAGAGAATCTACAGTGTGGGAATGAAAACTTAAAGCCTGGACCTCACCTTGCCAGGCCCCCCGATCTTCCAGGGAGTCCTGAAACTTTGGTTGGACGGTTCCTTTTGTGAAGCTTCGAGATGGTTGCAGGTTTTGACAGGCAGCTCTTGCAAACAAACCCAACCCATGCAGAAGCGACTTAAAAGGAAGAAACCTGGGGGAGGATTTGGGGCATTTTAGGACAATGACAGGAGCTCCAGGCATCATTATCCAGTTGAAGGACTTGAAGAGCTCAGGTAACATGAGGGTCACATTGACTCAGACTCTTGCCAGTGAGCCAATCAGGGTTGATTTCCACAAACCTTGTGGAAGCCCCAAAGCAGAAGAAAGAAAGCGGCTCCTCACAGGCTGTGAATGTTCACGTGTCAAGTATTCAGCCTAGGACCTCAACCAGTATCCAGTTTGGGGTGGGGAGGGATCTTGCTATGTAGCCCTCGACTGCCTTCGAGCAAAAATTTCAAGTGTGTGCCACTACGCTCAGTGAGACCTCAACAAATTCTGCAGGAAAATCTTAATAGTCAAAGCAAATCCAGAGGACAGCCATGCCAAGTGCATAGATGATAAATGACCCTCTGCAGTTACCTGCCATGGGAAATACCAGGCTTGCACACAATGAGTGGGGAAGTGATGTCATGCCTACCATCAGAGGCTGCTTATCAGCGCAGCCCCATTGTCTCTCACTGGACATTTAAACCATGAACTTTGACAGGGTTACTGTATGAACCTGCTCTGATGTCATTAGTGAAATACCACAGGCTGGAGGCTTACCCAGCCGAGATTTATTTCCCCTAGCCCTGGAGACTAAAAGTTCAGTGTCCAGATGCCAAGACTGGTGTCTGGTAAAACCTTTGTCCCTGAGGTGTGTGTAAATGGTCACCTTGTATCCTTATAGCAAGAGGTGTTCTTCTCTTTTTGTTTTTCTGTCTTCCTCTTACAAATCCAGTGGCCTAGGAACCTACCTTTATCAACCCCCATAAAAGACCTTATTTCCAAACATAGTCACACAGAGGGGCAGGACAGAGCTTTGGTACATGAATGGGGAGTGGGGAGGGAAACACATAGAGTAGACAAAGCAGCTGTTCAGCAGGTGTCCTGCATGTTTGCTTGAGAAAGAAGAGCATGACATAACTTATATTCCTGGCAAACAGAGCAAGCATTGTCAGATCCCAGTGGTAAGAGTCGCAAACTATGAGCCAAAGACTTTGTACAGGGTTTGCATGTTTTATCTTGATACAATTGCCAAACAACATTCCAGAATAGATATTACTATTGTTGTCCTTGTTCTTAAAAATCTTTGTGTGTATGTGATTGTATGTATGTTGTGTGTGTGTGTTTGTGTGTATGGGTGCTCTCCTGCACATTTTGTGTGTGATTATGAGCACACAAGGGCCATGACGCCCATGTGGAGGTGATGGGAGAGCTTTGGGTGTCAGTCTTCACCTTCCACCTTGTATAAGACAGGATCTCTTCACTGTCAGCCACTGTGTCTCTAGGCTAGCCGGCCCATGAGCTCCCAGGATTCTCCGGTCTCCACGTCCCATCTCCCATAGGGATCCCAGGTTTTATGTGGGCTCTGGGAATCCAGACTCAGGTGCACACATTTGCACAGCAGGGCTTTACTCGCTGAACCATCTCCCTAGACCTGCTGTCTTTTTATAAATAAGGATGTTGAGACACCGGGAGGTTCACTGACTTACCAAATACACAGGAGCTAGAAGCGACTGAGCCAGGAGTCAAACCCTGCAAATCAGTTTCCTTAGGTCTTCTCACTTAAAGTCAGCACTAGGATAGGGGCAAAAATAGATGGTGATTTCAAGGCACAGTGGCCCTTTCCTTAGCATCTCTGTCAAGTACATGGTTTTTGCTGGAGTTTGCAGGTGGACCGTGCCCCACAAGCTCATGTGTGGACTGCTTTGTCCCCAGCTGGCTGTGCCATTTGGGGAGCTCATAGGAACATTAAGACCTCACTGGAGAAAGTGGATCTGGGGGGAGGGGCACGTCCCTTGGGGATGTATTTCATTCCAGGCCCATTCCTGTATCCCTCTCTCTATTTCCTGTCCACCATGAGACAAACAACCCTTCCACCAAATCCTCTACCACGATATTGTTCTGCCTCACCATGGACTGTAGGCTGCAATCTCTAAAACCGTGAGCAAAACAATTCTTCCTGCAAGCTGCTTTTCTCCGGGCTTTGGACACAACTACTCAGAAACACTAACAGAGTAACAGAGTGCATAAGAACTCAGCATCACTCCCAGGAAGGATTTGGTGAGAGTGACATCAGCCTGATGTTCACACTGTTCAGTCCTGAAGCCCCATTCTACTTTAGTCCTATGTTATAACTTATGCACACATCATAATCTAAAGGTTTCTCCTTTAAATTTCATCTTCCAGTGCCTCCGGGGCCTGGCTAGAAAAGATTTGTCTGCTTTTCCTAACCTTAAAACCTTTTCTTTCCATTTAGACAAGTCAGTAAATAAACAGCTGAAGGCCTGGCTATTTCCTCTCTCCTCGGAGAAGCTTGACAGAATCAAAGCTCTTCCATTATTCCCTGAAACGCGTTTTCCTGAAACTCTTTCCAGAGGTTGTCCTTCTTGTGGATTCTCCAGGCAGATCAGTTTTTTCTCCTCTATGGCATCTAGCAGAGAGCCTCGTTCATTTGGTTTTTCTTCCTGGTGCGGCTGCTGCTATGGCCCCTGGTGACCTGCTTATCTTTAGAGAACAAGACCTCGAAATAAGCAAAGGTCAAAATAGTTACAAAGAAACAAAAAATTCATGAATTATTGGGTTTATAGTGAGGCAAGCCACTTCTGCCCGTTGGTTCCAAACCCATCAACTATGACTGTGCGGCAAAAGTGACGCTCCACCAAATCAGGGCCTTGGCTGCCAACTGACCCTAGAAGTGAGGCTTTCTTAGTCTGTCACACCTTTCAAAATTTGCCGGGGTGCTTCCAGGTAATGGCACACATGGTAAGACCAATTGATTTTGTGACTCACTGGTCAAAACTGGTACTTTGGGAAATGCCATAATAGACAGGGTGTTGTGGGAAGCTGTTGATGTTGCTGCAGGCAGAAACATGGACAGGGAAAGCAAATTCATATCCAAAAAGTGCCTAATCTACTGAGAACTAATCTCTGTCCCTTCTAAGATGGAAAAGGTTAAGTATAACCAACCAGGTGGCTGACTGGCTCCCCAGGTGAATAATGCATCATCACCGAGTGGGTATTGGTCTCCTTTTGACGCATTAAGCTCTCAACAGTAGTTCACCAGGCCAGCCTTGATGAGGGGAGTGCTGAATCAATAAATACCCTACTTCCTTTCCACAAGGCCACTCTGTTCATGTGCTCATGAGCAAGTAGTAGGTAAACTAAATGACACCTATAGAGGATGGGTTTGCACATCTAATTACTAAGAGCCCCTTTTTTATTGCTTTTATTGAGCATATATTTTTCTCCACTCTCCTCCCTTCCTCTCCCCTCCCCTTCTCTCCTCTCCCATGGTCCCCATGCTCCCAATTGTCTTTTTCTACTTCCCATGTAGATTAGATCCATGTATGTCTCTCTTAGGGTCCTCATTGTTGTCTAGGTTCTCTAGGATTGTGAATTGTAGGCTGGTTTTTCTTTGCTTTATGTCTTAAAGCCACTTATGAGTGAGTACATATTACATTTGTCTTTCTGGGTCTGGGTTACCTCACTCAATATGATGTTCTCTAGATCCATCCATTTGCCTGCAAATTTTAAGATGTCGTTATTTTTTTCTGCTGTGTAGTACTCCATTGTGTAAATGTACCACATTTTCCTTATCCATTCTTCAGTCGAGGAGCATTTGGGTTGTTCTTACATTCTGGATATTACAAATAATGCTGCTATGAACTTAGTTGAGCACATGTCCTTGTGGTACGATTGAGCATCCTTTGGGTATATACCCAAAAGTGGTATTGCTGGGTCTTGATATAGGTTGTTTCCTAATTCTCTGAGAAATTGTCATACTGATATCCAACGGGTCTGTACCAGCTTATATTCCCACCAGCAATGCAGGAATGTTCTCTTTACCCCACATCCTCTCCAACATAATCTGTCATCAGTGTTTTTAATCTTGGCCATACTTACAGGTGTAAGATGGAATCTCAGAGTTGTTTTGATTTGCATTTCTCTGATGACTAAGGATGTTGAACATTTCCTTAAGTGTCTTTCAGCCATTTCAGATTCCTCTGTTAAGAGTTCTCTGTTTAGGTCTGTTACCCATTTTTTTTTTTGGATTATCTGTCCTTTTGATGACCAATTTCTTGAGTTCTTTGCATATTTTGGATTGTAATTGTGAAAACTCAACAATCATATCAGGAGAACAAAATAGACATTTAGTCTAAAGCTTAACATAGTGTAATAAGAATTCAAACTGTCATCATTCGGGGAGTCATAAATAAATTGTTATACACTTGCATGTTTGAATAGCATATCACATTTTCAAGCATTCTAAAAATAATGGTGATGTAAGATATCCCTTCATATGCTGCAAATATGTTTTATTACCATTGATTAATAAAGAAGCTGCTTTGACCTATGGCAGGGCAGAATATAGCTAGGCAGGAAAACTAAACTGAATGCAGGGAGAAAGAAGGCTGAGTCAGGGAGATGCCATGTAGCTGCCAAAAGAGAAGAATGCCAGAACCTTAACAGTAAACCACAGCCTCACAGTCGTATACAGACTACTAGAAATAGGTTAATCTCAAATGTAAGAGCTAGCTAGAAATACACCTGAGCCATCAGCCAAACAGTGTTGTAATTAATATAGTTTCTCTGTGATTATTCAGGTCTAGGCGGCCCAGAAACAAAAGCACAGCTTCATTTACAGCATACACAGTATCTGTCAAAGAAGAATATGATAATCTGGAGGCACACAGGAGACTGGAATATTCTTTGCCATAATCTTGGTGATAGTTACATGGTTATTAATTTTGTTTCATAAATAAATTCCTATATATTTTCTTCACGTAGTTACAATAAAAGATCTTTAAAAGACATAGGCTCTTTGTCACACTGGATTATAGTCGATAGATCTATCTGGTAAGTAGATTTAGGTTTGTCACCTTCTCAGATAGAAGGGGCCAAGTTCAGAAGGGTTACATCATTGCTCTCCAGAAGTTCACACATGACAAAACTCAGTGCTCTGGTGTAAGCACTCCCTGGGTCCCACCAGGTAGTGATAGAGGAACTGAAGCCATTACAATAGTCACTGAGATCGGCATGGCCCATGAGCAGAACAGTGTATGTGTATCACTTCTGGAACAAACACAAGAGCCCTGCAACTGTACTTCTGCCCCCATGGCTCAGAAAGGAAAAAACCCACAACTAGTAAAGAATGAAGCTAAAATTTGTTTTGTTCTCTGTGTATGTGTATATGTGTATATGCATGTATGTATGGTTACACATGCATGTGTGCTTGTGTGTATACATATGGATGCCAGAGGACAATCTCAACTGTCAGTCACCGTGTGTGTGTATGTGTGTGTGTGTGTTAGGATTTCTCACCCTTTATGTGTGTGTGTGTGTGTGTGTGGTGTGCTAGGATTTCTTGCCCTTTGTGTGTGTATGTGTGTGTATATGTATGTTTGTTAGGATTTCTCGCCCTCTGTGTGTGTGTGTGTGTGTGTGTGTGTGTGTGTGTGTATTTGTGTATTTGTGTTAGTAGTATCTGGCCTGGAACTCACCTAGCAGCCTAAGCTTGCAAGCTGGGATCTACCTGCCCCAACGTTGGCCCTGAGATTCCAAGTGTGCACTGCCACATCCAGTCTTTTATATTTCACATGGGAACTCAGGTCCTCATGCTTGAGAGGCGAGCACTTTACCGACTGACTCTCTCCAGTCATATAGCAATTGTGGTCTTTGTCCATAGAGCAAACTCAGCAGCACTGTATGTCAGTTGTTAGAGAGACAATGATGACGTAATGACCCATCCTGCACCTCTGCTACTATCTAAATACAGAGCAGAGCCATATACTTTCCTTGGTAGCAACCAAGCTGTCTACTTTCCAAATCCCCTCCCATCAGAGAGAGAGAGAGAACAAGAGAACACATAAGTAAAACCCAGCAGTTATGTGTAAGAATTATTTTACTTGACCTAAGTTCAGAACCTTCTTTTCTGTTTTTCTGATGTCTTAATCTGTGTACAGACTGGTGACTCATCGAGCCTAAACAGAGAAAAATAAGCAAAAATGGGGGCCATTCTTCCTATTTCATTGTATCATATTTCCTAGCCCTGCAGGGCCTTTCTGGAAGGGTCCCTGTATACAGTGTAAGCTTCAACTCATTCTTCCTTCTGGTATCCTTCAGAAGCAGGAAGCCAGAGTTATTTCACAGATAAAGAAGCTGGAATCCCCAGAGGTCCAGTGCCTGCCTGGGTCACATAACTATAGGCAGTGGGGATGCTGGGAACGGGGCTTGAGGTTAGGACTCCCTGCCTGAGGTCTCCCAGCTCCCAAATGGGGCCTCCTTCCTAAGAGGTAACTTCATATGTGAATCTTCCAATGGAGTCTTGTTCTCCAAAAGGAATGTTATGGGAATGCAGAGCAACTCATGCATATTTCTTCCCCTGCATATTATTAATACATCTTCAGGAGACCGTTCCGTGCATATAATGACTTTCTGTTGTCGTTACAAATTCATCTAATGTCTAAATTTACAAATAAATCTAATGACTGTCCGCTGCTGAGTCCACAAGTCTATACTTTCAAGAGAGGATCACAACAACGACAAAAGTATCCGGATAACATAATCTTTTATTTTTCCTTTTTTTTTTGGGGGGGGGGGGACTAATGATTGAGCCTGAAAACTTACACATGCCAGACAAGCACTGTACCCATGAATTAAGCTCCAGCTAAAACCTCCAAAAAATCTTTGCTATTTAAGCATTTGCATTTGATACAAAAAAAATGATCAAGGTTTGGGCTTGACAAGTACCTGTTTACTGTTCTGTCGGCCACTGTCAGCACTTTGAAGCTTGCCCTCACCAGTCAGGGCAACAATATCATCAAAGCCTTTTCACATTGGCAAATGGAAGCAAGAATGGCTGGGCTTTCCAGGAGGCAGGATGAAGTTCCGAGAACGCCTGCTATCATTTTGAGCCCATCAAACCAAATTGCTAACATCTCCTTGTTCAATTTTTTTAAATATCAAATGGAAATAGTTGGCACAGGCTGAGCACTTTGACCCTCCCCTTCATCATTCAACGTTTCTATTTCAAACAAATAACTTTTAGTTTTTATCTCTCAACTTGTAGATGCAGGGCTTGGTTCCAGGCCCTGGAGATACAATTAAGAATAACGTAGAGATACTTTCCTCATTAGTCAAACTGGTATGGCTAAAAATAGGCTGTGAAACCACAGCCTTTACTTGGTAGGGAATATCTTTAAAAACGGGTCAACAGCCTCTGATAATGCAGTCGTTGAAAGGCTTGCACAGCTGGACAAAGGGAACCCGTGGGCACTGCTAATGGGAAGGCAACCCAGTCACCACTGTAGAAACCAATACAGAGTTTCCTGGGGAGAAAAACTAAAATAAATCTACCCATATGACCCAGGTTACTACTCTTGGGTACTTAACGTGAGGGTCTCCAAATCAATGTATCACAGAGACGCTTGCACATCAGTGCTTACTACAGTACTGTTCAAAGTAGCTAAATTATGGAACTAGCGTAGGTACCTATCAACAAAGATCTGGAGGATACTGAAAGAATGTACTTGTGCCTTTCTCAAGAAAGAATAATCCAATTTCAGGCCACTCCATGTCCGAAAGAACCAAATAAAGAAATGATAAATGATGGAGCTTCCTGGACAATCATTAGCACAGATAAGGCAGAGTATACATTCTTTGAGGGAATGGGCCCTGTCCTTGCCCCAGTCACTCCTGTGCCTGTCGTAGAAAGTCTTCAGTTGAATGGCGGCGGGGACGTAGCAATGCTTGAACTTACAGGACAGAATTTTACTCCAAATTTACGAGTATGGTTTGGGGATGTAGAAGCCGAAACAATGTACAGATGTGGAGAGAGCATGCTCTGTGTGGTCCCAGACATTTCTGCATTCCGAGAAGGTTGGAGATGGGTCCGGCAGCCAGTCCAGGTTCCAGTAACTTTGGTCCGTAATGATGGAATCATTTATTCTACCAGCCTTACCTTTACCTACACACCAGAACCAGGGCCGAGGCCACACTGCAGTGCAGCAGGAGCGATCCTCAGAGCCAACTCAAGCCAAGTGCCCACCAACGAGTCAAACACAAACAGCGAGGGAAGTTACACGAACGCCAGCACAAATTCTACCAGTGTCACATCGTCCACAGCAACCGTGGTGTCCTAACTACCGTCTTTTTGCTAGGACTTAAACTGACTTGAATGTGGCAAAAAGTTGAAAAAACAAAAAAAGGAAAGAAAGAAAGGCAAGGATAAAATGAACAATCTTCTGTGGTTTCTTGGGAAAACTTTTCATACCAGGTGATCTATTCAAAACCCCATTACCTGCAAGTGCTGATGTGAAACACAGAAGCCACAGTAAAATGGAAAACATCAAAGTGTACAAACTGTTGGAAATCACGGTTTTCAGCTCTCTCTCTCTCACACACACACACACCTTTTTGGTTGGTTTTTGATTGGTTTTGATTAAATGGTCAAGAAATAGATATGTGGCTGGTGTACAGGTTAAGCTAGAAGACACAAATCTTAACGTAGTTTTTATGGACCAAGGGACTTGCATAAGCTTTAGTAAAAGGTACATTTTCACCATGCCTTTTTTATATCCCAGTATGTAGTACACCTTATTACCAGTAGGTTGCACTCTCCACCCTTTTGAGCTTTGGCTCTAAAGTACATTCAGGTTCAAGCCTGACCATGCTTGTTCAATCTGAGTACCGAACACTTCCAGGTTCTTTTGGTCTAAGGCTGGAACTTTTTTAAGCTGAAGTCTTATGACTTTTTCATAAGTTGGAATTATTTTGATTTCAGCAAATCAAATTTTGTAAAGGCCTGCATATTTTTTTTAAGATTATATGAAGTCTGTGCAAAAGCTTTAAAAAAAATGCCTCTGCCTTGCCTGCAATACATGCAATGTATGTTAACTTAGTCTATTCTCAGATACTGTTGGTAGTTATTTCTGTTTTCCTTTTTTTTAAAAAAAATGTATTTATAGTGGTAATCCAAGAAATTCTAACATGTACGTGGAGTTCAGTGTGACCATTTAGTCATTTCCGAGTTAATGGCACAGAACATCACCATTTGAAGGGTTTGCGCCTCTTTGCCTGTTCATCAGTTTATCTGTGTTCCAGGGTTTGTTCAGGTTTCCTTCCTTTCCCAAATCTTGTACATAACTTGTATTATGTGTAAGTTAACATTTTATCTTTAACTTGGAATGTTCCCAGTGCTTACATTTAACAGGGTGTTTCCCACCTTGTTGGCAAATGACAAAAAATATCATGAGAATTATTTGCTGCCAAGATGGTGCCCTTAGGGTAAAATGAGGAAAGTCTCTGCAAGATGATCTATTGTACTTTATTTTCCTTTTTTTAGCCTAGGCCAGAACTTCATAATTCTGAACATAAGATCATAAGATGGCTTTTATTAGATGATAACTAAATAAACTGAACTAAATAAAATAGCCAGAAGACAGTAAAAAAAAAAAAACGTGGGATCCATAGATAGGTAGGTAGTAGATACATAGATAGATAGATAGATAGATAGATAGATGATAGATTAGATAGATAGATAGATAGATAGATAGATAGATAGATGATAGACAGATAGATATGGTAGACTTTTTCAACCTCAAAGAAGAACAAAGTTGTATCATTTTTAGGAAAATGGTTATAACTGGAGACCATCATGTTAAGTAAATTATTATCAAAAAGGCAAATATCACATGTTTTCTCCCATTTGCAGTTACTAGATTTTGTACCGACACATGTATCCATATATATATATATATGAAAGTAGAAAAGAAGCATAACAGTCTAGGACTAATAAGGGGAATAGGGGAAAGAGGTTTGAAGTAAATGATATACTTGTATTGAAATGTCCTTCTATAACCCAGTATCATATACAATGAGTATATGCCAATAAGAAGAATTTCAGAGGAAATAATAGTTTAAAAAATAATTGATTGCTGCTGTCTCAATCTTAGCCAGGAAATCTTCTCTCTAAAGTAGGCAGCAGTTAATGCAGAGAGTCATAAGGAGTCAAACGTTGAGAATATGTGGCTTTTGGGTGCTCAGTCCTAAATGGGACATTTACATCAACCCTTCCCCAGATTTAGGGACTATTATGAGAAAGGAGGCAGAAAAAAAAAAAAAAACTGTAAGAAGCTGGCGAGAAGTGCCATGAAGTGCTGTCTTCCGCACATGGTGGAGCCAACACAGTCATGAACTCAGTGCAGTTATAGCTACCAGTACATGACAAAGTCAACCAGATTAGTTAGGGTTCCAGCAGGCAGCACCGGCGGGGTCACAACACAAGGCAGGGGAAAGAGGGGGAAAGCCAGTTGCAGTGGCACAAGCCTTTATCCAGCACTCAGGAAGCAGAAGCAAGAAGTAACTCTCTGAGTTTGAGGCCAGCCTTGTCTACATAGTGGACATAATGAGATGCTGCCTTTAAAAAAAAAAAAAAATGCCCACATAACTGACAAAGCTAAGGGCAAGCAGGCAAGGGTTGCAACTGGGTCTCTGGGAAGGGGACTTCCCTAGTATGTTAGAGCATAAACAAAGCCACAAGCCCAGAGGAAGGTAGGTCTCATTAACCTTTCCACATCCTGGTTCTTGCATTGGAATGAAAAAGGAAGTTAAAGTTCCAGAGGGCTGGAGGAGGAGCACGTGCTTATCACAGAGCCGCTCTGCCCTAGCCAGACATGTTGTCAACAAGGTCTCTTTCCCATAGGAAGTAGAGTCTCCCGGCGGAGCTGACAGAGGCCAAGGCCAGCGGAAGAGAGAGCTGACGTTCTCAAAGGGGGACAGTCTTTCTTCTTGAGGGAAGAGTCCCCCAGCTGGGCCCACTCATCTGACTGTAGATACACAAACTGTGCATGAATAACAGTGTGAATCCCTGACAGCCGGCCGACATCTCAGCATCGGTGTCTCTCTGCTCAGGGAGTGGGTAACGCTGGCAGCATTGAGTAGCACGCAGAAACTTTCCAAAGACTGAGCAAAGAGGCAAAGCCTCCACCAACTGCTTCCCTAGCTTTTTGGGTTTTTGTTTGTTTGTTTTAGGTTTTTTTTTTTTTTTTTTGCCAGCTGCACAGAGAACTGCGGAAAAGCTTAAGGGAGGAAGGAGCTCATGCCATAGGAAGGGTCACCCAGGATTATCAGTTTAGTAGGATACAAGAAATTCAAAGAAATGACTAGGAAATCTATTAATTAATTAATTAATTAAAAGGGCTGCTGAAAAGACATACTCAACAAGACAAAACAGCAAACTACAGAATGGAAAAAGATTTTCACCAATCCCACATCGGACAGAGTTCTGATCTCCAAAATATACAAAGAACTCAAGAAATTGGTCATCAAAAGAACAAATAATCCAATAAAAAAAAATGGTGTACAGACCTAAACAAAGAACTCTCAACAGAGGAATCTAAAATGGCTGAAAGACACTTAAGGAAATGCTCAACATCCTCAGCCATAAGAGAAATGAAAATCAAAACAACTCTGAGATTCCATCTTACACCTGTAAGAATGGCCAAGATCAAAAACACTGATGATAACTTATGCTGATTGTGGGGTAAAGGAAGCACTCCTCCATTGCTGGTACAAACATGTATAGCTGCTTTGAACATCAGTATGGCTATTTCTCAGAAAAGTAGGAAACAACCTTCCTCAAGACCCAGCAATACCACTTTTGGGTATATACCCAAAGGATGCTCAATCATAACATGAGGACATGTGCTCAACTATGTTCATAGCAGCATTATTTGTAATAGCCAGAACCTGGAAACAACTTAAATGCCCCTCAACTGAAGAATGGGTAAGGAAAATGTGGTACATTTACACAGTGGAGTACTGCAGAGTGGAAAAAAATAACGACATCTTAAAATTTGCGGGCAAATGGATGAATCTAGAAAATATCATATTGAGTGAGATAACCCAGACCCAGAAAGACAAATATAATATGTACTCACCCATAAGTGAGTTAAAGCAAAAAAAAAAAAAAAAAAAAAAAAAACAGCCTACAGTTCACAACCCCAGAGACCCTAGACAACAAAGAGGACCCTAAGAGGGACATACATAGACATACATAGATTTAATCTACATGGGAAGTAGAAAAAGACAAGATCTCCTGAGTAAATTGGGAGCATAGGGATCATGGACAAGCAAGAGTAAAAGGGGAGAGGGGAGGAAGGGAGGGGAGCCGAGAAAAATATATAGCTCAATAAAAACAGTAAAAATGGGCAGCAGAGATGGCTCAGCTAGTAAAAGGGGCTTGCTGCTAAGCCTGAGTTCAGTCCCTCGAACCCACATGGTAAAAGGAGAGAACTAACTCTGAAAGTTGTCTACTGACTTCTACATATATGCTGTGGCACAAGTACACCAACAATGCCCCCTACACACACACACACACACACACACACACACACACACACACACACACTGTAAAAAGTAAATTGAACAATGAAATGAATAGAAAGTGAGTAAGAACCTTGGGTGTTCCTATGTTTAATGCATTAAAAGGGTTAATAAAGATTTCGCTGGAACATAAATAAAACTAAACAGTGCTTTTCCTTTCTTTTTTTTCTTTAATAGAGAAAAAGTCCAACTAGTTCATTCATCACAAAGCCCCAGTGGGGTCATAATTAAAGTGCTGCTTTTTCCTAAGTGACTTTTCTTTTTTATTCTGCATTTACTGGCCTCTGGGTCCGTACTTAAATGGCAATGGCGTCACGTGACAACAATTCCTGCAACTTCTATGCTTACAGGAAATTGATTTGTAGAAGACTATGTAATTTTTGCAAAAATGTTATTACTTAGATTGATTTCTTCACAAATACAGCTAGGCATAGCCGCACATGTCTTTAATCCCAACACTGCAAACACAGATGCAGGCAGATCTCTGTAAATTCAAGGCCAGCCTGGTCTACATAGTGAATTCCAGGTAAGCTCTGACAGGGCTACACTGTCAGAGCAGGTAAAACATCCATGTGCATAACATAAAAATGAATTAATTTTTTTAAGTAGACTTGCTTTCTTGTTCCCTTAAAATTAACCAATTCCAAAGACCATCTTTTTACACTTTGTAAATTAATTTATACTTTACGAAGGTATCTCTTTTGTGGAGGCAGAGAGCCCAGGGCTTCATGCATGCTAAGCATGCTACTGAGCTTCACCCCCACTTTGCCCTGAATTCCCCATCTTCACACTAAGGCTTTTCTCAAGGCCTCGGTCGTTTCTGGAAGTTAACCCCC